CGGAAGCGCCGAAAAACACGTACATGAACGGTATCCGCAGCAGTTAACAGGAAAGACACGGAGTTACATCAGACCACGCCGGCTCATGTCTGTGGGTCACGGTGGGACTGGTTAAAGACATACTAACGATTAGAGACAACTTCAGCTATGGAAAATAATTAGTGTCGCGGTCTGTTAAATAGGTCAGACCCAGGCGGGTGTTTTTATCCCTCCCTTTCTGATGAGTTGGTCCCAGGTGAGCTCACGGGTTTCCCTTCCACCCCTCTGTCTGTCCCCACTGGTGCTGGCCCCGAGCAGTCCCCACACTGACATCAGTGCCCCAGGGTGGCTTCCCTACAGCAAGGGGCACGGAAGGCTGAGCTCTGGCCAGCCAGCCGAAATCTGGTCCCCACTGAAGTCGCTGGGCACCTCCCCAGAGAGCAGGGGGATGCTGCGATCCCCTTTGCTGGGGCAAACTGGAGCAAACTGGTAGAGATGCAAGAGGAGTCCCCTGGGAGAGCCTGCGGCTCGGCTGCCTCAGGAATTTGTCTCACCAGAGAGAAGATGAGGGTGGTGGCACAAGGTCCTTAGGGGTTCCTTGCCCAAATAGCTCTGGTGGCATCGGGGTGTCTCTCTAGCTGGCTGTGTGTATATGGAGCTATACTTGCTGAGAGCGCTGGCCATAGGGAGGGGGGGGACAGGGTGGATGGGATTTGGGTCCCATCCCATATCCAATGCTTCCTTCTCCCTCCAGCATTGAGCGCCCGCTGACCAAATGCGGCATCGAACATGGAGGTGGGGGGCACAAGCTAGTTGATACGAGTGGTTGTCCCCAGAGGGAGCCAGGATGAGGGGCTCAAGGGAGGGACCCTGCCCTGGGGACACCAAACCCCCCCACTCACTCAGCATTCATCTGCTGCTGGCAGGGGGCACAAAGACATTCCCACCCAGGTCATGGGTCCAAGCCCAGCCCTGATGCTAATGCAGAGGTGCTGGCTGAGCCAGGGGCCAGATCCTGCCCTGGTTACGGGATGGCAGCGCTGAGCTGAGCTTGGCTGGCTTGCACGGGGGCAACCGCAACAGCACGGGCATCAGGGAGGAGCAGAGCGAGCAGGAGCGGTCCGGCAGCATCTCTGGGGAAGGGGGGCACAGAGTCCCCCACAGGGAAGTGGAGAGACTGGCCAGTCCCCAGCACGTGCTGGTGCCATGCTCTGAGTCCCCAGCTCCTCACCCGTGAATTTTGGGGGAACAACTTTGCAAGTCGGTCCCTACCTACCACCACTGAGGAGAGCAAAGCTGAGCCCAAAGCGCGCGTGGGCAGCGTCCTTATCTCAGCCCAAGTGCACCAGGAGGCAAAATGCCATGCCCCAGTGAGCCGAACTGAAGGGAAGGGGGGACAAGGGGGTCCCCAGCCGGCTGCGGTGGGTTCGGGGAGGCGGGGAGCGACAGGGCGGTTGGTAACAGGGAGCAGCTGTGAAGGCGCGCTCGCCGGCGAGCCATGCTCAGAGCCAAGACCTGGCCTCCCGTTCTGCTCTTCCACACAGCATTTATCAGCCCTGTCACTCTGGAATGGTGTTTTTCCTTTTTTCTGTTCATTTTCATCTCTCCCCAGATGAGAATTTTCCCCGATTTAAGCAACGCCTGCTCTGCTGCGGGCGGCGAAGAGGGGGCGTTCGCTTTATCTCTCTCTTCCCCTCGTGAGCTCTGCCCTGGCCGCCCTCCCCGCTTCATCTTACTTCCTACAGAGCTGGTAAAAATAAACATGTTTTTGTTTGCATATATTCGACTGGCCTGCAATTTGGCTGATG